CAACAATCACAAAAACACCATGTGATAGCCATGCCACAATCACATGAACACCAGGTGATAGCCATGCCACAATCACATAAACACCAGGTGATAGCCATCTCACAATCATATGAACACCAGGTGATAGCCATGCAACAATCACAAAAACACCATGTGATAGCCATGCCACAATCACATGAACACCAGGTGATAGCCATGCCACAATCACATAAACACCAGGTGATAGCCATGCCACAATCACATAAACACCAGGTGATAGCCATGCCACAATCACATAAACACCAGGTGATAGCCATGCCCCAATCACATGAACACCAGGTGATAGCCATGCAACAATCACATGAACACCAGGTGATAGCCATGCAACAATCACATGAACACCAGGTGATAGCCATGCCACAATCACATGAACATCAGGTGATAGCCATGCCACAATCACATGGACACCAGGTGATAGCCATGCAACAATCACATGAACATCAGGTGATAGCCATGCCACAATCACGCAAAATGTGACAAAGATTTGTAAAACTTAAATAATGCATAATCTTTTAACTTCACTGTGGGAAGATCAATTAATGAAAGTAACAATGAATGGTTTTGATTTTTTCCTAAGCCTCTAAGAAAGCCTTGGTTAATTCATATTCACTATAATTTTATTGAGCTGATATGACTCACTCATACACTTCCATAAGAAGATGGAATTTTGACAAGCTGGTATAACGTTTTGATTGCTTTTATGGTTGAGTTTCCTCAAACAAAATATTGCGTAGTGACATAGAATATATTTAGTATTTCTATGATTGTGTTCTATGCAATTTTTGCACAATATTTGATTCATTTTCCAAAATATAGATTCTAATAAATACCACAAATAAAAGTTGTACAATAATTTGGACATTATTTACCCCCATGCCCTTTTTTTACTATTATGGTACATTTCCATTTCTCAAGAAATATGAGAATGCTAGCTACTAGTTTACAGAAATATTACAAAATACAGAAAATCATGAAAGAATTGCATCAACATTATGGCTAGAGAATGGAAGCCAATGTCTCAATCTGTAATAAATTATGCGCATAGTAAAATGCACAATATCACATTAGCATATTATACGTGTATATATTTGAAGACACCACTTGGTAATAAAAACAAGTAAAAATTTGCAAACTTGATCTTGCTTCAAATTTACATACATTGTACAGTTGTGCACTATGTGCATAGTATGAATAATTATATTTTGCATATATCTACCAAGCTTAAATTTATTGACTTAATAAATCAGCAGATATCACAGATTAATACACGGTGATACATCTGTGTCGGCACTCAACACTGAATAAATCCTTTTCCATTTCATCAGAACTTCCAGTTTTACTGTAGATTCAAGCATTCTTTCAATGACTTCTGACCATTGGTTCTACTCTCATTTGTTTTTACAAATTAGCTTCTACAATCGTTGAATCTGGATCATATGACAGTCACTCTCCAATCATGTGATGATCACTTCCCTGTCACATGATACCATGTGATAGTCATGCCTCAATCACATGCACATCTTTCATAGTCCTTGATAGCCTTTACAGTTGGCATTATTTTTCATGATTTCATTTTATGATGAACCACTTTAGCTTTGTCTTTAATCAGGTGATTGTCATGGGAACAAAGCTTTTTAACAATGCTATCGATTCCATTTTCCTTGATAAGTTTTTTCAGAGTTGCTGCAAAAATGGAAATTCATTCAACATGCATGAGAGAACATTATGTATTGTCTGTAACTTTAAATAAAATATAAGTTGTTCATGAATGAACACAAAAAACAAAATGGCTGCCCACCTGACTTTGTATTTAATTAACTTACCAGATTGTAGAAACATTTCTGTCAACGTCAACACATTAACCGTGACTTCTGGCTGCGTATCAGATTCTGACAACAATCTTTGTAATAACTGAGTTATATTACAGCTGATGAAAACAGACTCTGTAGTCTCTGATAAAATAAATAATAGGTATTTGCATGTAACCCAATGTCAAGGTGCACATAGTTCAGTTCTGTGGTATAAACTTAAATAAACCCGAAATAGCTTAAATACACTTGTAATTAGTTCTTAGTCGGAGACTATGCGTTATTACTTTTAGTTTAGCATTAAATACATACATTTGCACTTATTGGGACTGTTAGAAGCCAATGTACCAAACCTTGTTGCCTACAGTTTGTTGTGATATTGTGCATTGAATAACGCATTGTACAGTAGATATGCCAGTGAACCTTTCAAAACCGTTAGCATTGTGTGCTTGGAATTTGTTGGGAAGGACATTATCTGATTACTATAGTGATGATAATTGTGACACAAATTGATTGTATTGTACAATGTATCACTGGAAAATATGATTTATTTAGAATTTTCTGAGTTCATATGCAATGCAGGAATGGTTGAGAATGCATTCAAGTATTAAAAGGGAGATCTATACATTCATACCATTATGTCTTTATTTTTTTAATTGGTAAAAATCACAAATTGTAAATTAAACCCTGACAATAAACAAGTCATTGAAAATGACACAGTCCCCGTTAAATTTTCGAAAGTTATCTTTGTGCTCGTCATATTAAAGCGGAGAGGTTGTCGCGAGCATGTCCGTGAAACTTGAGTTCCAAGTGGCGTATACAACAGATTGTTTATTTACATCAAACATGTGTTCCGTGTAGTAGTAATATGGCCAAAAATGAAAAAAACAGCCGTTATTCAGCCATCTTTGATCTGATTATGAAACACACTGATATGTATGATGTATGTGCCAAATACGAATGAAAATGGTACATAAATTGTGGAAATACAGTAGTAAGGCCAAAAAGTCAGATGGCTGTCAATCGGCCATCCTTGACCAGATTTTGAAACAAATTGTCATGGACATGCATCCTAACATGTATAAAGTACATGTGCCAAATTTGAATGAAAACTGACAGAGCACGTCCAAGATACCGCATAAAGAAAACAAAACAAGATGCCTGCCAGTCAACCATCTTTGATCCAATTGCGCAGTAAATCGTCATGGACATGTATCCTAACATGTATAATCTATGTACCAAGTTTGAATGACAACTGACAAAGCATGTCCAAAATACAACATTTTCAAAAAACAAGATGGCTGCCAGTCGGCCATTTTGAATCGAATCAGTAAACCACTGCATGTGCATATGTCCCACATAAAGTACTAGGCACATGCAAAGAATGAACGAAATCCGTCCACAGGATTCTGAAATACGACTCTGGACAGACTGACACACGGACGGACGGACACACGGACGGACAGACTTGGGAACTCACGAATGGTCGGGGACATGTATCCTAACATGTATGATCTATGTACTAAATTTGAATGAAAACTAACAAAGCATGTCCAAAATACAACATTTTCAAAAAACAAGATGGCTACCAGTCAGCAATCTTTGATCCAATTGTGAAATAAATCGTCATGGACATGTATCCTAGTGTGTATGATCTATGTACCAAGTTTGAATGAAAACTGACAAAGCATGTCCAAAATACAACATTTTCAAAAAACAAGATGGCTGCCAGTCGGCCATTGTGAAGCGAATCGCTAAACCACTGCATGGGCATATGTCCCACATAAAGTACTAGGCACATGCAAAGAATGAATGGAATCGGTCCAAGGGATTCTGAGATATGACTCCGGACGGACGCGCGGACGAACGGAGACCAAATTATAAGTCCCCGTTTTTTTTACTGATATTAGGATTATGTCAGATGTGCATTTTTTTATTATTCATGACTGCTTAATGATGTTGATTGTTAATTACACTTTTCACTCACCCAGAGTTTGTGATGCAATCAATGTCATGGCAACCAATGCCTCATTCTGCATAAGCATGTATTCAGATGTTGCCATGGTTACTGCATGTGGCAACCCATCTGAGCTGACAATTACCTCCATCACATCGATGGAACTAGAATTCTTGACGAGTGCTGCAATTAGTCTGTGCAAAAAAAAAAAAGAATTCAAGAGGGAATAGTTAACCATCTACTTGAAATTCATTGTCCCTTCTGTTAGTTTGAAATTAATTCATGAGATAACTTACCTGTTAGCTTCACCTGCCACTCCTGCATGGTCTGGTGCATCACATAACTCAACGATTCGTTTCACAATTGCACGATTTCCTCCTACCTGTACAGCAGCACTTGCTAATTTAAATCAAATTAAAAATAATGATTATTAAAATACATTTTGTAAATTGTTTTGACATTTTGCACAATTTCTAAACACGATGGCAATCACATGACCACAGTTTCAAAATCATATGTTTCATATAAATAATCACATGCACATCACATGTTTACCTTGTCCATCCACTAACATTCGAATTGTAGCTAGTAGTTTAAACTGCACTGGTGTCATGTCTGTTCTAATCAGTGACAGCACAGTGTCTAGAACGCCACACTTCAACATGATAGCTTTGTTAACAGCTGAAAAGACAAAAAAATTAAAAATGTTTAAATGTTTTATTGAGTCCTATTGACCTGCATACATTTATATAAAAACATGTCAACAAATGTAGCATAAATGAGTATGCTACATACCAGCAGAATGACAAAGAGCAGGTCCACATGGAAAAAATGAACTGGAAAAATTCGAAGCAATTATGAAATATTGTTCAGGAATAAGAACTGAGCAGCTCGACCAAAATTAAAAATATTCTTTCCACCATAGTTATGACTTTAATGTGATTTTAATTGATTTGATTTTTCACCTCTTAGCAATAGTATCTATTGTATTGTATTGTGGCAAAGGGTAACCTCATTCTCCCACGTCCATAGACTCCACAACCAGATGTAGTTTAAAATCTTGCCCAGGACACATACATGTATATACATATTTAAATAAACGTAAACATTGCCTTTAATAGGTAATACCTCACACGTGAGGCTGAGTTGGTGCAAGGCTTTTATGACCGTATGCCCTTACTGATGTCAACCAAACTTATTATGTGGGAAGTTGGCACCCAAGGCTGACAGGTACTACACCTTGCCCAAGGGTGACCTGGAGGTAGTTGTGGCAAGGGGTAACCTCATTCTCCCAAGTACAAAAACTCCACAACCGGATGCAATTTTAACGTCTTACCCAGGACATGTCCAATACAACTGAAAACCGACTAAGTCGTGAGGCCAAACCTGTAATAATTCGGGGAGCGCTGAAAA